GCACACTTAGAGTTTTCATCACATGCAGTTCACCAGACTTCATAAAACTTCATAAACATAGAAGAACAAAGGGGCCGAGGCGTCAGCCCTGTGGAACCCCAATTCCACATCCTCTGCTCACGTACGTCATGCGTCCACGTTCTCCGTCCGCCACCGTCAACATACAGAGTCCATCTGAGGTCTGCTCTGCTCAGGTCAAGATGATTGCAATCGTACCAAACAGGAAAAAAAAACGGCGAGAAGATCCGGTTTGTCAAAATAAAATATGGTAAAGACGCATCGGTAACTACAGATTAGAGCATAATTCTTATATATTCCCAAAAACTAAGACAGCTTAATTAAATGATTGGATGCAAACTATTGGTGCTTCATTTTACCAGAAGCAGATGACTCATCTCCATCAAAACATTTAGTTTATACTGAGGGGCTTAGAAGTTTAATCAAATCCAGTCAAAACAAACTTCTTATCGCGGGCATGGATGAAGAGATGCTGAGTTTGGAAGTAGAGAGCAAACATAGTTGATAAAAAACAATTTTCAATGATCCTAGTTATCTCTGTTAGAAAAATCCACAACAGAAAGAAAATATTTGGGCAGAAACTGAACAAATGCTGGATGCTGGTGGGGATTTTTTTAATATGTCATATTAAACTACGCCTTCATTTCCGCATGTTTTGCTCCTAAGAGTTTGATAATATTATCGCGCATGCTCTCCTAAAGCTCCGCGGAAGCCGGTGCAGAGCAGGAAGGGAGGAGCAGCGGAGGCTGTAAGTTTGCTTTATGCAGGCGGTCTGGAGCGGAGAGGGGCGGAGCCTGAAGATGTGGGGTTTAGAGGTAACAGTTGGGAATTGTTTGTCAGGTGTTTTAAGCCCCGCCTACAGAGGGAGTTAATCAGCCCAAAGTTGCCATGGTAACTAATAGCATTCAGCCAACTGCCAGAGCACCAGCAGAACTTCAGCACTCAACAGAACACAGTGGAACCAGAGCAGGTTCTGTGGGTTTGGACGGGTTTGTGTTTCACCGTTTATCCTCCTAAAGGTCAAAGTTCATTCAGCGTTGAGGATATGGGCTGAAACCCGGGTTTGGTTCCGGTAGAACCAGTCGGTACAGTTTTACTTTGGGCCAGATTAACTCTTGGATTGGAACACCTGTGAGAAATGAACGATGATGCTGCAGGTTTGATTCTTCTGGGTTGGTTTTGCTTTAATCGCTCTGAGCAGAACCGAGCTGGTGGTTCTGATCAGTTCTAGAGGCCGCATGCTGCCTGTGATGAAGGCCTCTGCTCCTCTACCTCCCGCTCTGTGACTCTTTGACCCCGGCCCGTCATAATTAAGCCCAATCGATCCGCTGCCATCGACTGCTCTGGGAGTGGGTCGGTGCAGACGTGCTCGGTTCTGGTGCCGGGGAGCCGTCCAGTGAAAGGGAAAAATTACAGTTTTTATTTTTCATTTTATAATAAACTGATGCAGGGAAAGTTTATCTAATCTGCAGCTTAAAATGAGCTAAGTTTGTATTATTCTGATGATTCTGGTTAATATCAGCGACAGATATTGGAGTTTTCTCCGGGGGGGGGGGATGCTATAAATTCATAACAGACGTATACCAAAACCAATCAAACGTATACAGTGTTATTATACCAGTATACTTGTATAAATGCCAACAACAAAAAACATTATTAAAACACTTAATAAACTGAGAACATATTTTCATTTACAGGTTTACATTTGTACATAAATCTTTCCCTTCTGAGGCTTTCTGAAGATAAATCTGTGTTTTAATGGTCCAATATTGTGTTACTAACATAAAAAAAATAATATTTACCAGTTTAATAATGGAGAAGCTATTTGTCAGCTTTAGATTTTCTTAATATATAAAAACTTTTTTATTTTCTGAGAATGTTTTTATTTATGAGCAACTATGCAAATTAACAGACACCTTGAAAAATGACACAATATTCTATTGTTTTCATTGTGAATCCCAGTTTGTTCATTCTTCTTTGCCAAGGTTCTGACCGACTGGAGGTTCTGACCGACTGAACTGGACCTTTCAGGGAGGTTCTGACCGACTGAACTGGACCTTTCAGGGAGGTTCTGACCGACTGAACCGGACCTTTCAGAGAGGTCCTGACCGACTGAACTGGACCTTTCAGGGAGGTTCTGACCGACTGAACCGGACCTTTCAGAGAGGTTCTGACCGACTGAACCGGACCTTTCAGAGAGGTTCTGACCGACTGAACCGGACCTGTAGAAATTTCCAAACGGTTCATGTTTCACGATTGCCGCTCTGGTTCTGGTCTGATCAGATTGGGCTGGGGACCGGGTCAGAGACAGACCCTGTGGTGGTTAGGTTCTGCAGGTTTAGAGTGACCTGGTTCTGTAAGCTTGGTCCATTCAGGATGGAGATGTTCTGTCTGGATGGCTGCAGTTTGGAGCAGAACCAAGAATGGACCAAGGCTTAGAGGACCCGGTTCTGGAGAACCCAAAGCAGAGCAGCTGTTTGGATGGAAGCTGCTGCTGGTTCTTCTCACTCAGGGCAGAACCTCCTTCCTTTAGCTGGACCGGGTCGGACCGGGTCAGTGTTCTGATGGCAGGTTTTTCTCCTCATCAGTCTACAGACATTTTTCAAAATAATATTTCACTGTTGCACCAGAACCGGACCCAGATCAGTCAGCTGGTCCGATTGGATCTTTGAAACCAGCTGAATGAATTCTGGAGCTGCAGGTCCTCTGCATCCAGAACCTTCAGGAACGTTACCTCCAGGTTCTGGTTGCACCTGCTGGGTTCTGTGATCCGTCCTCCAGAACCGGCGCCACCTGCTGGTGTTTGAGGCAGAGCGTCTCTGTTGGTTCTGACCCGCTGTTTGTCCTGCAGAAGTACCGGCACCACGATGAGGACTCGTCCCCCCAGGAGCAGAGCTCCCCCCAGCTGACCGAGGAGCCGGGGGGTCCCGAGCTGGTCCAGGTGGCAGAGAAGAACCTCTCCCAGATCGAGAACGTCCATGGATACGTCACCCACGCTCACATCTCGCCGATGAAGGTAGGGGGCGGAGTCTCTGACCTCTGACCCTGATCCGGGCCTCGCCTCTTCCTCAGTGGGCTGAGGTCCAGATCAGGAGCTCCTCCTCTTCCTGTCTCTGTGCATCACCTCCTCTTGTCCTCATGTTGGCTGTGGTCCTGTCTGTTACCGCTGAAGGCTCAGGGTCTGACCTTTGACCTCTGACCTTCAGTCAGATCCCTGATGGTTCGGTCCTGCAGGAAGGCAGCAGCAGGAAGTAGCTGGTTCTCTGAAAGGAATCGGATCAGAACCAGGGTCTATTTCTCAGATTTATTTTATATTTTCTCATCAATCAGTTATAAATAATAAAGCTTGATCCTCAGAGGATCCAGATCTCTGCCATTCAGAACCACAGAGTCCAGTAGGGGATCAGCAGGAGGGATGAACTGAGCCGTACTCTGTCAGGCAGCTTTGGTCCATGTGAACTGGATGTGCTGTTCCTATACTTGTGTGTCCTCGTGAAACATCATCAGCCTCAGCCCTAGTACTGTTCCTGTTCCTGTTCACGAGAACAGAAGACAGAAGACGGACAAAGTCCCCGGACGTTGTTCTCGCCCCTCAGTCTTTACCCAACATGCACTGCAGCAGCTTCCAGGTTAGCGCTAACAGAGCTCAGAGGATTAAGTTAAAAGTTCTCTTTCCTTTTGCTGCTGTTCTATAAAAGTATGTTTTAAATTCATTTGAGGCGAGAACATTATACTCTAAGCCAGGAGTCGTTTTCAAGACCAAGGACCCTCAAACCGATGGCGAGATGGAGCGGGGACCCCCTAGATATATATATTACATGAATTTGTGTTCTATGAAACTGGCCCTATAGTCATTATATTAAGTTATTTTTGCACTGGTATTATTAAAGTATTTCTGATTCTGGGGGAATATAAAAAAAGTATAATCAACCCAAACTTTTGCGACATCCATGCAGTACCTCCATGGACACCCTAGGGGTCGTGGACCCCCTGTTGAAGACCTCCACACTACAGGTGCTGGTCATAAAAT